TTACCTGAATCTGATTTGGTTGCAATACCTTGCTGCCAGGCTAATAAGATGTCTACCAGTAAAAAGGATGCTAGAGAAAGAATGCCTTGGCCAACCTGGAAAGTATTGTGCAAAATTTACATTTAAACCTAAAGTAATCTGATATATGAAAAATGCACTACTGACAAATAATTGCACTAGCAGGGTGGAAGAGTTGCTAGAAGGGGAAACGACCCACATTGGTGTGAGTTTTCCCCTCCAGTTAGAAAGAGCTGACCTCGGACAGGGAAGATCAACATAGCTTGTCAGAGCAAAATATGGTCAGGTTAAAAAACTGTGATCGTAAGGCACATCTCCTCCTGCGCAATGAACGCTTTTTCATAATTCATAATTTTATTTCCTCACATGAGATGGTAGTTAACAAAGGGAGATATTCCCTGTAAAAGTGTCAACTTCCAAAGCATAGAATAATAAGAATAATAAGACTACCACTACCACTACTACTACTACAACAACAAAAACAACAACAACAACAACAACAACAACAATAATATTATTCATAATAATGATCACAGAAATAAGTATAATAATCATAATATAGTGATCATAACAATAATGACAATGGTATAAAGGGTGAACATTAGCAATTATTGCTAGTAGTGTCCTTTGTACAAAGACACTACCATACAAGTGGCAGATCCAGTAATTTAAAGTTGAGGGGACCCAGAGGAGGACCTTCACAGAAGGTCTGTGGTAAGTAAAAAAAATGGCACTCTCAGATCGGGGAGGGGGGGGGGTGATCAATCAACAATAAAATTATCAAACTTACTATCCACACAATGTATGATGAATTAGCAAGACGCCTAGAAACATGTCCTGTATAAGATGGCAACTGATGAAAAATACACCACAACAGAACAGTCAATCCCCATAGACAACCAAGCAGTCGTACACTACCAGAAAATGACCATCTGCAAAACACACATAAAACTTTTCAATTAAATAACATACACAAAAGGTGTAGCCACATTAGTCTGCTTTACCACAATATATATGACAGAACTCAGCATTTTGAACACTAACTATATACATTTATTTTCTCTGGCTTTGTTCACACAGTAGAAGACAGTCTCCTGATGAGATCCACTGCGTGGATGAAAGCTACAGAAAATAAGTCAGTCTATGCTGAGCTCTGTAATTATTTATAGTGTACAAATAATATAATATTGTAAACTGAGACATAAATTTTTTATTTATTGTAAT